AGGTCCTGAGTTCGACTCCACCATTTTGCTGTGTTGAGTTTGCATGTTCTCCGAGTGTTTGTGTGGGTACTCTAGCTTCCTAGAAGATTCTGGTTTTTAATTTGGCTTTAAGTGCACATCCTCATTCAATTTACAGGTAAAGGTCAAGGTTTTCATACAGGTTAAGGTTTTCATCTTTAAAGGTCTTTGAGATATTAATGTTCAAACACTGCTTTAGTTTTAAATGTGTAAAAAAACAAACAAACAAACACACAAAAAAACCCCACCTCCTACTAAAAAAAACTTTATACTTTTTCATTTATATTAAAATACATTTAGACACACCTGTCAGTTTGGGAGCTGCATGCCCATCTAGCTCCTAGCTACTGTCATTTTCTTTTTAAAACGGAAAATTAAGTTCACACATCATCTTGGCATAGTGCACATGCCTACACATATGAACACTCCAAATAACTTCAGTTCTTTTTCTGAATATTGTCACCTGTGCCCCAAATCTGATTCATGTCTGGGATTCACCCGAGGATGACATCATAGCCATTAACCTACCTACTGGGACTAGGGCATTAGGTAAACAACCCTCACATGACTCTGTCCTTAGGAAGGAGGGACATTGATCTTTAACCGGCCTATGTCCCTCTGCTGATGACTCACTGTAATGCGGATATTAAGAAATTGAGCAAACATCTTATGAAATCGGGTAAAGGGACACAAAAAAAAAAAGAAGGAAGAGAACTGATAACATATTTTTTGAGTGATTGCTTAACACCACATGAATGTATAATTTTAAAATAACAAAGTAAAAAGATATATATAAATATATAAATAAAATAATTTTTCCCCTCTCACCTGCAGAAATGCTGGTGGTCGATTAGGCACTCTGTCTGAGTGATCGCTGGTAAACCTCACCAGCCGCAGGTAGCCGGGGTATGAGGGAGCGCTCACTTGCCCCTCAGGTGTGACAAAAAATATCTGCACACCGTTGGGAATGTACAGCAGCTCCTCTCCATCTTCACCTATGCTCTGAGGGGAAGGTGTCGAGTTAGATGTATGACTGTAGAACTCTTCCCCGACCAATGACATCTCCCCTGAATCTGTTCCATATGAGACTGATATGTGACCATCGGCTGCCTGAGGAGAGTAGGCTGGAGGCTGTTCGGCAGGAACTGCAGAGGGTCTGGTAGGTGAGAGGGGTAGACCCACTCCTCTGCTTGGAGGCAAACCTCCTACAGCTCTAGCTGGCTGACCATTAGCAGAAGGAATGTCTGGTGGAGGCGGCCGTACTGGCTTCTCTGTGGTGGGAAGTCCTGGGTAGAGACCTTTTGCAGAAATGCTTGTTGCATCAGGGGCAGATACTGCAGATTCAGAGTCAGAGCTGGTCTCTAGTATGGCCATGCGGGTGGTGATGTTGTTCAGGGTCTCCTGCATCTTCTGCTGCATCTGCCTTGCTGATTCCCAGGAGTTGCCAACACACTCTTCCCCCTTCGAAGGTACACTGATAGCCCTAAGAAGGTGCTGTCGTCCTTTCTTGTAGAGCTCCAGGGCCTGACTCTTGTCTCCGGCTTCATCTGCAGTGAGTCCTTTATTGATGCACTCGAAGGCCCTTTCATAGCCATCTTTGATCACTTGAAGTCTGGCATTATCAAATGCATCTTGTTTAGCTTTCTCCATTGCTCTGAAACAAGACAATTGGTAAATTTCTATTAAGTACAGCACATGCAGGGAAATGATTATCTTGGCTAGACTTTGAAAGGGCTAAAGGTTATTCAAATGATATTTTACTGCTTACTTAACTTCGACCCCAAACTTGATCACAAGTACAAGTCACTTAGAAGTGAAACGCATCGCGCAAATGGCCCTCTTGGTCTTTCTAGATCACATGTTACCTGGTTTATTTTCGTTACGTACGTCAGTGTTACTGGTTTAAAACGATCCACTAAAACAGGCTTTAAACACACTAATCCTCGTGTTAAACTTGCTAACACAGATCAACAAGAGCTAACATCTGCGTTCGGACAAAGTCAGGAGCTATGCCACGATTTTAGTGTACCGACAGCAACATATATATATATATATAACACGTGAAGTCGTAATTAGTGATAACTACTAGCTGTCAGCTAGCTCCAACTCACCTAATAGTGAATGATATTAGCTCTTACCTTAGAGAGCGGAAAAACACCAAAGAACAGCTTATTAATTGGCCTGCTAACGTTCCTCCTAGCTAGCAAAGAGTGATAACTTCAATCGGCAACCTGAGTAAATAAACTAGACTTCGCTGCTGGACGACTCCCTAAAGTAAAGGAGAGCCTAGTGGTGTCATGAGGTCATTACTGACCTTTCAAAGCAAAAGTTCCACGACCGACCCGACGTGCCCAATACGATCACATGTCAGCCCCCTTTTAAAAAAATAGATACCGGAAGTAGTGAAACGCCACCTAAACTTGACAATTTTTGTAGTTCGTCACCATAACCACAAGAGGTCACTAAGCACCCATTCAAATAGCTTCTACTGATAAATGAACCATTTGAATAAGGGGACACTTCCATCTATTGGTCATAGTGAGCAACTGCAACAATTTATTTTCCATTAAATCAAATTTCAGTTCCATTAATATCAAGCAGAAATTATGCACTTATACACACTTCCATATAGATTCAAAAACGGTGACTGAATGATGCGGTGGCAGTGTAAATATATTTCTTAATATTAATAAAGAGACACCTTTTAGGACTTCTCATCAATAATGCAAACTAGCTGAACTTATGATAAAAAGCAAGTTCACAATGCAGCATTTTCAACAGTCTCAAGCCATGCTAAGGTTTTTGTTTTGTTTGGTTGTTTGTTTTTAAAAAAATATTTATAATTTTTTTCTTTGAAGCTATTAACCAAATTTTGGGGAAATCTTGGATGATGCACTATGAATGCAGAAAATTCTAATTTTGATCTGAAATGCAATGCCATCAGGTAAGCATATGGCTGGCAATATGATGTGATGCTGATTTTTCAGCATCACAGTATCCCAGACATGCTGCCATTACAGTGATATTTTACTGTTGCAAAGGTAAGCCAAGAAGGAGACAGAGATCTCTAGTTTGACCTGGAGACCCTGTGTTTCTTACACTTTTCAACAACCAGTATGTATCTGTTGATTGCATCACCCTAAATCACAACAGTGGTCATTAACTGGTACAGCAGTCTTAGTCATGGTGGCCATTGCTGACCACAATCAATACAGAAAACAGCTGCAATAATGTTAAACATTAACAATAACAACAACAACAACAGATCAAGATAACTGGAATAGCTGTTATAACTCTGTAACTTAACACGTGAATGTCAGATGAACAGACCCATGAGTCTTTAAGCTAGTGGCTCCTCCCCTTAGCCGGCTACAATACTTGTCATGGATTGGCCTCCCTGTAGCCTGGACCTTACAAGAAATCACAAGAACATTTGCCTGAGAGAGTTTGGGCTGTGCTGAAGAAGGTGGTCATGACCCTTGTGCTTGATGCCCAAACTCAAACTATGCACTGAAGATTGCATGCTATTCCTGTGTCTGCAGCTTACTCAAACTTGCTTCCATAATCCAAAGACATGCATGGGTTAGTTTAATAGGTGATCACCAATTAAAGTAACAAAATGGATATGTTTTCAAATGAATGTATTCAACAAAAAATTGAAAACAGATTCCCGAAAGCCTCTTTTATACCTCAGAGGTCTGAGCTGACCTCGGGTCACCCAGCTGTTGAGAAAGCTGAAACATTAATCTGCTCAGTGACCGTATCCTGTTTACTGAACACTCACAGCAGCTGTGAAACTGAGGATTCTGTTTACTGGTGCTAAATCATTTTAATGTTCTGACGAACCGTTGACCGACTAGACAGAAAATTATGCTGGTTCATCAAAATGTTGATACAATTGTTGTAAAATATTTCCAGAGGAGAAGAAAGTGAGTCAGACAGGACATGCCCACTTCTTGTTCGTTGTCCTTCTTTCAACACTCTGCAAATGGCTCATTGAAATTGCTAACACATGTTATTGAGCCCCCAAGGACAATAAGAAAATATCTACAAATCTAATGACAAAAAGAGAAGATTTGATATGGATTTTAAAAACATGTCACATTGGCCATAGACACCTTCAGTGACTAGATTTCAGATTTTTGAGACTGCACACCAGAGGGAGTCAAATCCTACCTCAAACATAGATTTTGAGTATGAGATGGTGAAAACGGCACAGTTTTTATGTTGCTCTGAGTTCAATCTAATCAAAAATCTTTAGCATCCTTCATAGTTGAAACATTTTGTCTAATCATGGGAATGATTAGACATGCAGCTTGGTTCAAATGCGCCTCTAATGACTATGAAATTACCTAGCATGTCGCCATCAAACAGCAGAAACCTACAGGCATTTTAAAAGCAATAAGAACAAATCAACATGCATAATTTACTAAGAATGAACTTTTTCTGAATCACTTGTGTTTTTGTTTTACTAGTCTGACTCTCATCAGTTTCTTAGCTGCTGTGACCCTGGAAAATAGCTCAACAAGTCTAATCTCCAGTTTGACAGATTCCCAGTATTCACTGAGCACAGATGCCAAAACACTGGGACCAGACTGGACATGCTCTTCACACATGTTGCGGTGTTAATCCAGTGCAGCTTTAGCTCACTATTTTCAACTCTGTCATGCCCGAGGGCAAGCTGATGTTCAAAGAATCTGAGCTCCAGTCCTTAACATATGAAGGTCATATTTAATAAGAACTGTGTTCCTGTGTTTCTGTAAATTGTGCTCAAAGTGAATAAAAAAGAAATCTGTTTTTCATTCTCTTATTACCGAATTTGTTTTCTGAAGTTAGTTATAGTTTATTATTCATCTCATTGAATTGTACGTGCATCATACTCTGCTTCACTGTAGTTTTTGTCCAGTTGTACTGAGTGCACTACAAACAGGTTGCCTGTCTTTACTTTGATTATATTACCAGATGGGGAAATTTTGAATTTGTTCTGCTTCACCGAGAGGTCGACTAATGTCTGTAGCTGGAACAGGCTGGTAAAACATGTCTTCTGTTGTTAAGGTTGGCCCACATATGAGCAACATATGTATGGGTCACCATTTTGGAAGAATGATTTGCTTTAGAGCTATAGATCATGGATTTAGTTTGGTCACAGCAATGTTTTTTCTATGTGGACATCAGAATTGTCTTAATAATTCATTTTTGAACAGTTAAAAATTATTAAATGATAATGATAATTATTAAATTATCATTAGTGCAGCACAAACTAAAAGTTAGAGGTGGCATAACAGAGAGAGTATGACTGTTAGTCTTGCTGTTTATTCGCTGTTTTCGTGAAGAGTTGCAACATTAAGATTGGTTTTAACCAAAAACAGGTTATTTGAATTCTTTGTGTAAACAGACTTCAACATTGCAATACTCATGGAGCTACTGAAACACATGCACAATGATTAATGAGGAATTACATCCCAGCCAACACTCAAATGATATGCATGTGGGTTTCTGGCTTTGCTGATCCTCAATTATTCAAGTAACTTACATTCAGTAATCTGCTTTTTTGTGGAGTTTCAGTTTCGAGTTTATAAGATAAAAGTCAGATTAAGCAGCTATAAAATGAGTTATTTAAGAAGTTATTTGGAAGAACCAGACACAAGGCTGTAATGAATGTACAACTCTTTTACAGGCAGCTCTGTGGGTTTTTTTCCACATGACTACTATATAATGTTCATAATGCCCCTTAAAAAAAACCTTAATAAAACTGTTTTGTCCAGATTCCCCCTGCCTGACCTCGTATTTTCCTAGACTGCTAGTCTTCAGTTTAATCACAGTGCGGATCAAAACATACCATTACTTTAATGATTAGTCATTTAAATCGCATGCAGTTGTTCTCATATTTATCTATTTTTATATTTTGGCCAGACTTTCATTTTAGCTGTAGACGCAGTTATGTCAGTAATTTATTGCGGCCTTTTTGTCAGTGTCACTTTGTTCCAGATACACACTTTGTTTTCCATAACTTTTTGAGCATATATGCGATGGTCGGTGTTCATAAAAACAATTATAATCAGAAGAGAGTAATGGTCACATCCACTATTTAGTATTACTTTTATATCAGTTTAGGAGAAAGATCGGAAGAAAAATGAGGGATTGAGCAGGAATTATGGCACTGAGGGGCTTCTCAGGCATTGTGTAAACAAATTTATGCCTGTGTGCCAAAAAGAAGAGCCTTTCTAAATGGAAGCACAAATGCAATCAATCATGGACTGTTCCAGGCTCAGATTTTTGCTATGCAGGTCTAATGTTAGGTTTTTATAGCGTTTGTGTGTATAATAGATAAATAATTCTCTCAATCAACATTATTCCAAACAGTACTATGATCTGTTCAAAATGATAACATTCATCTTGAGTAAATGATTAACATTTGTATTTACTTATTTATATGTCCTTGTGCAAGCCCGCTAAATAAGCATTCACCATAACAAGGCAACTATGTCACTGCAGTGGCGTAAGATGGCAATTAACTTGAGACTAGAACTTGATATACATAAACAATAGTATATATGTTGTTATCCAGTGCACATCTCCTATGAACCAGTAACAAAATGGGTAGTGGTATCCCATGTGTTTCATGTTTTCATATTATGACCATGAAATAAACAGGTTTGTTAAAGAGCTAAATGTGCATGAATGAGCTATAACTATAAGCAGAAACAAATGGAAATTGTGCAACCACAACAAATGCGGAAAAATGAACAACAAATGATTCCAATTAATGCAAGCGTCAAAACGAATTGCTTTTTTTTCCTGGTGAAGCTGTAAAAGACACATTAAAATATGGTGCAGCTGTGTCCTCTGCACTGCATTTTTGAGCCACAAATACACGCCGCTTGTCCACATGTCATAAAACCCCATATAAATTAATAGTTTTCCTAACAGACATCAGGATCTTAAGTCACAGTTTCCCCTCAGCCCTCCACTGAGGTCCGTATTATAGAAAGTTAGTGTCCCTGAAGTGGCTGCAAAAAGTCAGTAAAAGAAGAAAAAGTTCCGCTTCACCAAAGCCCTGTTCTCTAAAAAATGTGAGTATTTAAAAATAATCGTGATTAAAAGAAAGCTGATAAAAAAGTTTGGGCAACAAGCTTAGATTAGAGGAAACTGAAATACCTTTTCTTTATGAAAAACTAAATGTGTGCATCCTGACCTATTTTTTTAATCAAATGCTCATTGTCCTCAGTTGAAATCCACATAAGCTGCACAGGGCTGACTGAAAAAAGAAAACTGGATCACGGTCGCTAGTAAACCTGTCTCAGGCTTTGTGATTTATGGACAGAGAGATCATGTTCTTTTCTGACTCCAGC